CTTTCAGACAGTGCACGCCTACATTTGGTAATTGTGAACGTAATTTTCAATTCATTCAAAACAAATGAACCCTCATCAGAATCTTACTTACAAAAAGATTTGCTTATGTTGGCACACAATGCAATATACAAATCATGTATCATAAAAATGTACACTTGAAATCTATATGATCCTTTTAACCATTATCACCCATAAAATTTAATAATTTTTTTTTTTTAAAGATTTGCTTGCATCAGCTGATGGTTTAATGTAAGTTTATTTGACCACAGAGATCCTGTTACTTAGGAACACACAATGACATTTTAGTAACATGATGTATTTTTCTTCCAAACTAATGTGTGGTTAGTGCAATTGCCTGTTATGTTTAAAGCGGTCTGTTTTCCCTTGTGTGTACTCACATTCCTCACATTTTGTGCAAAGGAAAAAATATGCTAGACAGTTAGGTTTGATTTTATCTCCATGTTAATGTAGAAAAAGAAACATAACTTCAAAGAAGAAATAGTTATGCTTTTTTTAGTTGAGTGATCACTAAGCTCTTCATCAAGTGAGAAACACTCCGTTCCCTGTAAACAGCTGGGGCAGAGCGACTGGCAGCGGCTTCAGTCTCTGCTGTTTGTGTGCAGCATGAGGCCGCTCGGACCTGGGTCTGAGTTAGGACGTGCCGCCGTGCTGGTATGCATAGGACTGAGCATGTCTGTTTTAGCTGAGCTAACAATGTTTTATAAGTGCCTCTGCATCTGTTGGGTTAGGTCCAGTCACAGGGGCAGTAAGGAAATAATTAAACCCCCAGTGAAAACAATCTGCTCCTAAACTTTCCCCAAGTGTGTGACAAGGAGGACTTCAACTCGGCGATTCCGTTTCCGGAGAGGAGGCCCTGCTCAGCGCGCTGCCCTGGGGCACCTGCCCTGGGAGATGGGTGTGGGCGGACGGGACTGAGGACAGCCCTCACAGTCTCTCTGGGCACTGCTGTGCGTCCCGCTGGAGCCTGGTCCTCATCAGAGAGTGCACGCTGGCTCCACCCGGTGTGCTAGGCCCGCCATTCTCCCATTTATTTCACACTAAGGAGTGAAGTTCCCGGAATAATTAGTATCTACCAAGTTAGAGGCCTGGCAGCCTTGAGCAAGTCACTGACCCTTCCTGCCTGCTGGTTTCCCAGCCCCTGACCTGGCATTCACCTGCCTGGCACTCTCATGGACATCACCTCGCTCACCCTTCCCGCAGCCTTGGGAGATGGCCGTCCCCCGATGGGAGGGACGTGCAGACTAGAAATCAGAGTGTGACTTGGCCAAGCCCACAGCTAGAGGGGTTCCAGTTCAGAGCCTGTTGAGCTACAAAAGATGAACCACATGTTCCGTAGACTTCTAGGATGTAGGGGCCCCGGTCATCTGGCGTCAGTGAGAGCTGGCCGGGACTCCTGACCTTCGGGGTACTGTTAGTTGAATTTTAAGCTTGCCTCTTCAGCTGCAGACAGGAACCGTTATCGTGTCAGTCTGTACATGCCTCTCCTATGAGGACACTGTTTCCTAAATAAGGGAATGTGGTGGATAGATATCGTAGAGGGTTTCACCCAGCCCTTGGAGTTTTCACTTGAACAGCAGAATTTGAGTACTTCATTCTTTTATGTCAGCATCTCGGAACCGAGTGATCCCTGGTGTGCTTAAATGCTGGCTTGGGGACTTAGGCAATGCTGCTGCTATGCAGAGAAGCCAGTTGATTCCTAAGTATTACCAGCTGTCAGAATGTGACTTGTTTGTATAGTATGCTCTAGCTCACTGAGTCCCAGGAAAGGGAAACGACTGCCCGGTTCATCATCAGGACCCAGGAGGGCACTAGGTACCCCATCTTTGGGCAGTTACTCTCTTACGATTCCAGGCTATACATGCCTTCACCATATCAAGTCTTCTGTGCTTTTTGAAATAGTATCTATAATAATAAGAGCATAATATGCTAATTAGACCAGATAGCCGAACGACCTTCCAGACGTCTTTCCACATGAAGCCACGGCAGCGGGGGCTAAGACAGGTGGTTAGGGATGATCTGGCAGGCAGGAAGAGTGGTTAGGGGCTATCAGGCAGGCAGGCAGGCCGGCCAGCAGTGAGGAGCCAGTGGTCCCGGATTGTGAGAGGGATGTCCGACTGCCAGTTTAGGCCAATAAACTGGCAGTCGGACATCCCCCTAGGGGTCCTAGATTGTGAGAAGGTGCAGGCCAGGCTCTAGTCTTATCTATAATAAGCCAAATCTCAAAATTAAAAATGTAATTAGTATTCCTTGTACATATGTGCAAAGATGACACCATTCATATTTTCAGACTATGACTAGATCAGCAGTTCCTTTGTATACATATGTGTTAGTAATTATAGGACATCTGCGTGTTTTCTAACATTGCATTGTGAAGAATGTTTGCTATCAGGACATTGATCACTTTTTTTAAAATGTGTTTGAAACTTCCTATGAAGAGCATGATGAAATTTCAAGGCTGCAAAAGTTCAGTGCCAGACATTTCATATATTAATTATAGTAAAATCAGTTGAAGTAACTGATTTTTTCTTCTGACTTAAGAATACAGCTTCAGTCAGTCATTCTGATTTTCAGCCTTCCTAGAGATTCTGCTCCCCACAGGGTGCCCCTGAGCGCACAGTAGGGTCTCACTGTGCTCCTGGGCTCGTGTCCTCCAAGGCTGCTGGGAATGGCTCAGTCTACCTGGGTCTCATGAGGCTTGGATGCTCTTAAAACTTGGGGCCAGGGGGACTCAAGAAGAGGGGGCTCAGGACCCACCATGCTTCATTGGTTCGCATCTTGTTCTGCCTGCCTATTGGTTTGCTTGTCTTTTTGATTTCCTACTTATTGCCCCTACAACACTGGGTGCTCCAAGAGCAGTCCTCACCTAATCTTCTTATCTCCTTTTTAGAATAGCATCTGGAACATAGCTAATTAAAGCTGAATGAAAAAGGAGTGCAGGAAAGGCTCAGTATCCATCTGTGTTGTCCCAGGATGCTAAATCTGTTGAATCACTTTATTCAGGTTGAGCCCCCTCCAAAAATGATTTTGTTTACTGTTTAGATTGCCTTTAACTAGCGATTTTAACCTTTTTCATCTCATGGCACACACTAATTACTAAAATTTTATGGTATACCAAAAAATAAGGTGGGTTTTTGTTTTTTGCCGATCTGACAAAAAAAAAAGGTATAATTTCACACAGGATGGCTATTGTTTTGATGGCTGTTATCATTTTATTAAAGTATATTTTTATTTATTTTAGAGAGAAAGGGATAGGGAGAGAGATATAGAACCATCCATGATGAGAAAGAATCATGGATTGGCTGCCTCCTGCGTGCCCCCTTACTGGGGATCGAGCCCACAACATGGGCATGTACCCTGACCAAGAATTGAACCGTGACACTCAACCACTGAGCCACACCAGCTGGGCTGCTGTCGTCACTTTTTGACAATGTAAGAGAAAAGGAGGTCAGTGCCCCTGACTAGTCAGGTATTTCATGTTTCTAAGACACTTGAGGTATATCAGTTGAAAATTGCTATAGGTCTATGCTTTTATATTCACATAGCAAGAGGTTTCTTGTTAAATGAATGGATAGCCATATCTTCTTATTTTTATCTGTCTCTTAAATTCAACTTGGCCAGTTTAAATTAGTTAATGCTCCTACATTTTGAAACTAGTTATATATCTCAACTTTTTATTCCATAGATTATTTTTCTGTTTTTAACCACCTAGTTTAATCCTTGGATTTTGATTCTAACAGTCTCCATCACATTATTATTCTTGTTTATGTTATAATCTCAAAATAGCTATTAATACAAGGGGACTTAGAAGGCTTAGAAATTAATGCTCAAGTGGGTAAACTGAACTTTCACAAGTCGGCTAGGATGACCAAAATTGGCACTCAGGTGCCTGATTCCTGGTATAATTATATCTGATTCCTGGTATAATTTGAATTAGTTTTATCTGTAATAATCAACTTTGGTGAATATGCTAGTTGTCTCAATTTCATATGAAACGTACACACATGCATATACACTTCCCAGATGCTTTTCATGTTGTGCTTCTCATAACAGCCTTGTCAGGTGAGGGTGGGAGGCTCTGAGGGGGTGAGAGAACTATTAAAAGATTAAATAACTGCAGTTCAAGATTGGGGTAGCCTCTGCAAGGGTGCCAAGGCTGGAACTTTCAAGACACAAAACTGATAGTAACAAAGAACTCAGCAGAGTTTCTACATGTGTCTATTATAAATTATTTAGATTAAAGATAAAAGCTTTTGGTAGTGTCTGATACATAGTGAGTATTGATAGTTTTGTGTTAAATTGAACTGAGTGGAAGGACACATACCCTTGAGCAAATCAGGGCAAGGAAGATGAGTGCTGAGAGTGACCAATAGAGTTAAGATTCCAAAATCTTATGCGCTAGGTTACATTTGTAAGTGTAGAGTCAAAGATTAGGAAAATCTATTTTAAGCAAATTCCATTGCTTTTCATAAAATCTTTCGATCTTGAATAAAGAAATATGGTAATCTTAATATACTATTACACTTCTTGGAATTGCAGAAAACTTTCAAAATAGTATGGACATGTGTATTCTTCTCCCAGCTTCCCCTAATATTAATAATCACATTAATAACCATAGTACAATTATCAACACCAGGAAATTAACAATACAATAGTGTTTTAATTTCACACATATAATTAATAGAAGAAACTAAAGCTGACCCAGTAATTAAGTGTACTTATACCAATAATTGTATCATCGGTTCTTTAAGAAAAACATTTTTAAAAAATTTTTAAATTGATTTCTTTAGGGAGGAAGGGCGAGGGAGAGAGAGAGATGGAAACATCAATGATGAGAGAGAATTATTGATCAGCTGCCTCCTGCCTGCCCCCCAATGGGGATTGAACCCAGAACCTGGGCATGTGCTCTGACCAGAATTGAGCCCAGGACCCTTCAGTCCACAAGGTGATGCTCTATCCACTGAGCCAAACCAGCTAGAGTTGAAAATTAATATATTATTGTTTTAACATTGGAGTAACAAACAGAACACTCATTCATAACTTCCACCAGTAATTTTTTCTGCGTACTTCCTGGTTTTGAAACAGAACTTATACTATTTATTGTATAAATGGCCTTCAAGTGTCCACTGATAGCGTTGGTCACAGGCTGCTGGTCAAGGACAAGCATACTTTGTCCCAGGTTCTCGCAGTCTGCTCCGCAGTGCACAGCCTCCTGCTTCCTGAGGGAGCCCTCCAGGGGGATGGCTTCATTCTCCAGCGTGAAACTGAAGCCTTCACTAAAAGTCCTAGAAGACTACACCTTCTAGATGTATTTTTGGCTGTTCATCTCTAATGAGTCAGGCATACTAGCTTAATAATACTGAGTTTAACATAACATGATGTCTTTCTTGATGATAAATGCTGCTACAGTAAATATATAAATACAGGTTTAATTGACAAAGAACATGCGGAATTACTTTATATTCTGTGGCTTAAGAACAATACTTGAATATGATCTTATGCATGAAAATGCATAGGGTGATATTTCTCTTGTTTTAATATAATTGTTTTCAAGATGAAGATGCTCCAGTGTTGAATCGTCATCTTCTTTGGCATTGCAGATTTGTTCTGGGAGAACATGCCTAAGGAAAAGTAGACGTGAAAGTCAGAATGGTTCAAGTAATATACTGCCTTCATAATTTAGGAGTTAAATTTTATATTTATTTTTAAATTTTATTTTTTCATTTAATAAAGTTAGAGCCCTTTTTTATATTATATTCCAGAAAAGATTCAGAATACATCAAAGATCTAAATGTGAGTAAATGAAGACATTTATTCTGACCAGAATTCTGCATTATGGTCAGAAGTATGGTTGTGCCCTGGGTTCAGGGAAGATCTTCCTGCTTGTGACGTAAACTATAATAGAAGCTCTGAAAGATGAGATTAATAAGTTGACTACTGGGTGTTAAAGAATGCACTTAAAAGACAAATGGCAAACTAGGAGCAGATATTTGCAACTTTTATCACAGATAAAGGGCTTATATACAAAGACCTAAACATCTAGAAGGAAAGGGGAAAGGGGTGGGGGGGGGGGGGAGAAGGTAACTAGTTCACAAAAGAAACAATGAAATGTGTGAATGTGAAAAGATACTCAGTTTCAGTCATGAGAGAACTGTCAGTTGAAAGTATGCTGGCATATCACTCTCACCAGATTTGCTACCCAAACGTCCAAAAGCTCGTCCACATGTCCTGACAATGAGGCTGTGGAGGACCAAACACCACTGAAGGGAATTCACTGCTCTATCAAAAGAATTTTTGCATTATCTAGCAAAATTACATGTGTATTTTATCACCCTGCAACCCCAGTTTTAGGAATTGATCCCAAAGTGAGACTAAAAAACAAAAAACAATTGAACAAAGTTGTGCATTTTGGCATTTGTAGTAGTAAAAGAATGGAAACAATAAAATGTATATCAATAAGGAAATGGTTGCATAATATATCTGCAAAGTACAATACTATTCAGTTATAAAATGGAATGAAGAAATTCTTTATATACTGATATGGAATGATATCCTTGACATAAGAATAATTTTAAAAAAGTAGAGTGAAAGTAAGCACATTCTCTAGAGAGGTAAATGAAGTTTTCTGTGGAATACTTGTATGTTAATTATGGGAAGGATGGGGGTATATTAATATGCATGTATGTATTTACATACTGGAAATACTGGAAAATGCTCCCAGTATTTTCCAAAAGAAATACTGGAAGGATAAACTAAAAGTTAATTTACAAATTTAACATATGGGAAAGGATGGATTACAGTGTAAGGGATAACATAGGAGAAAGACTTCTTTGTTATACAGTTTTGATGTTGGAATCATATAAATGTTTAACATAGGAAAAATAATATTAAATAGAAAAATACAATTGCTAAAAACCAAAGATTAAGACCATTTATGAGCATGTACTAAGTTGTTAACTCATTGTGACAGATGAGATGGCTGTATTTCAGGTGTGCATCCTTTGTGGAGCACACTGTACAGAAATAGAGCTACCAAAGATATCACAGACTCTTGTGTTACTCATAATAATAGTCTTATCATTTCCATGCTAATGTTTTTATATTTTAATATAATATATGTAAATTGATATTGTTGGAAACCTAGATTTTCATTGTAAGATAAGTTTAAAACAAAAGGAATACTCTATAATGTTAGATTTGAATTGGGAATGTCAGTATAAACTCATTCTTTTTCTTTACAAAATGCATGTTTTCTGGCAGTCCACTTAACCTCCTCAAAGCACAACAGCACACTTGGGAGGAACATGCGAGGTGTGCAGATTGGATCCTCTGGTACTGCTCCAATGAGAGGATCTGGGCTCTGGAGCAAGGCCGCCCAGGTGTGCAGTAGGAAATGTAGTAGTTAACTGACCAGGGGCAATGCAGACGGTCCAAGTACATAGGAGCCAGCTTGAAGGGCTACCATTGGCCAAGGATAGGACAGTGTAAGAGCAATAATTATAATTGATTGAAACATCCCAAATGTGCAAAACCGTAAGTCCATGTTGATTCTCCAGAGAGAGAGCCAAAACAAAATAGTAATAAAACAAAAACACTTAATCACCAATTAATTTTTCCCTGAGATAGCCACTATTAACATTTTAACATATTTTATGATCTTTTTATTCATATATAATACATCTATATAATTTTCCAGTTTTATAGGGATGTAATCCTATCTAATAAAAGAGTAATATGCAAATTAACCATTGCTCTGTTACACCTACTAGCCACACCCACCAGCCAATCAGAAGCAAGTATGCAAATACACCCAAAAAAGATGTCTACAGCCACAGAGAGTAGGAGGGAGGCTTGGGTTTCCCCGGCAATGGAGGAAGCCAAGCTTTCCACCTGCCCTTGCCAGCCTAAGCCTCCACTCAAGGCTACAAAGTTTCAATGATAGAAGATACATAAGTCCCAAGAGAAATGGCTGCCTCCACAGAGCATGCAGAAGGTTTGGCTCCGCTCCAGGCTACAAAGTTTCAATTGTAGAAGATAAATAAACCCCAGATACCAGGTCCTCCACTTGGGTTGCCAGGGGGCGTGGCCAGCCTGCAAACCACCACAGGCCCCTCACCCAGGCTGCCCCATGCTCCAAGGGAACCCCCACCCTGATCCAGGACACCCTTCAGGGCAAACCAGCTGGCCCCCACCCATGCACTAGGCCTCTATCCTATCTAATAAAAGAGTAATATGCAGATTGACCATCACTCTAACACACAATATGGCTGCTCCCATGTGATCAAAGATCCTGCCCCCATGTGGACACAAGATGGCCAGCAAGGGAGGGCAGTTGGGAGGGACCCAGGCCTGCAGGGGAGAGCAGTTAGGGGTGACCAGGCCAGCAGAGGAGGGAAGTTAGGGGCAAATAGGCTGGTAGGGGAGCAGTTAGGCATCAATCAGCCTGGCAGGGGAGTGATTAGGGGGTGATCAGGCTGGCAGGCAGAAGCAGTTAGGGGCAATCAGGAAGGCAGGAAGGTGAGCAGTTGGGAACCAGCAGTCCTGGACTGTGAGAGGGATGTCCGACTGTTTGTTTAGGCCTGATCCCTGTAGGATTGTGGAGGGTGCAGAAGGGTGCCCTCCCCTGCTGGACTAATCACCCACAACTGCCCTTCCTTTGCAGGCTTGGTCCCTCCCAACTGCCTTCCCCTGAAGCCATCTTGTGGTGGCCATCTTGTATCCACATGGGAGCAGCCATCTTACGTTTTGTAGTGATGGTCAATCTGCATACAACCCCCCCCGCACAGTTTCGTGCATCGGGCCTCTAGTTGACATATAATATTGTATTATTTGAGGTGTACAACAAATGATTTGATGTGTGTATATATTGGGAAATGGTTGCCACAGTAAGTTTAGTTAACATCTGTCACCTTTCATATTTCCAAATATGTAACCAGCTTTTTCTTCTGGCATTTTAAAAAGGGGATTGATCATTTATCTAACCTTTCAGAGTAACAACATGGCCCCAGTTGATAAGAAAATTTCTTTACAGAAGAATTCCAGCTAGCAAATATGAAAAAAATGACAAAAACAAGAATTCACCATTTTATTACCCCTAGGGAAATAACAGATTTAAGCAACAGCCATCTGTGTGTGGGGCCTCGGATTTAGGGGTGGAGGAGAAAGGCCATAATGAAGGCCGTGGCCTCCTAAATCCCGCCTGAAGCAGGACAAACAGGCCGATGCCTCCTAAGGCAGTGAAAGAGGAGGCAAGCATATAGCCTGACCTCGCAAGGGTTTTAGCCAAATATTTTGAAAGCAAATCTTACAAAGTCTACCCCACCACACCTCTTCCACAGGCTTTTAGAAATCTTGACCCTTTCCCTGTCTAGTTTAAATGTGTTTGGAATTTGAGAACTATGGAAAAGAGTTGGGATAGTATTCAGGGTCATGGTCAGTGACCTGCCTCTCCTGTTAACGCACTAACCTAGGTTCCCGGTGAGCCCTGCTCCTCATGCACCCTGGGGAGAGGAACACATCAGAGAGTGTGTCTCCACAGGTGAGGGATGCGGGGTCTTCATAAACGTATTTAGAATGATCAGCACCATAATCTAATGCCTGATGCCCCATTTCAACCTGTTTTAAATGTTCTAAGTATCTATCTATATAAAAGCTTAATATGCTAAGTGTCCCACCGTTCATTTGACTGTTTGTACAGTTGCTATGACGCATATTGATCACCAGAGAATAGACACTCTGACCAGTAGGTTAGCTTGCTGCTGGAGTCCAGCCACTTGGGACTGGACCAGTTGGGCCCCATGTGCCCTGGAGCCCTCCCACGGCTCCTCCCTGGCCCCAATCGTGCACTGGTGGTCCCTCAGCCTGGCCTGTGTCCTCTCACAATCTGGTACCCCCCGGGGGATGTCAGAGAGCCAGTTTCAGCCTGATCCCCACAGGCTGGGCCGAGGAACCCCGCTGGTACACGAATCCGTGTGCAAGGCCTCTAGTTATATAATAATACTTTGAAAAATTTTACTCTGAAAATTTGCAAATATATAGCATTAGAAGAAAACAATGAATTCTTATGTATGTGTTATCTTCTGGCTTCAACAGTTATTAAGATTTACCAATCTGGCTTAATGCAACTCTCATCACATTTTTTCTTAAAGTAAATCCCAGACATCATGTCACAGTAGTTTTGTCAGTCGCAACAATTCAAATGGGTACTTGAAAAAGCCAAACTTTACCGTATCTTGTTGTTGTTCAGCCTCAGAAAATGTAGTGCTTTCATTTCTTGTACCCCTGGTGGTATCGACTTGAAGTTATTGTGATCCAGAAATAACTCTCTCAGAGAATGGTACGCGCCATAGAAGGAGACTCGGTCCACGCCGTCATCAGAGAGGCTGTTAAATGACAGGTACAGGTACTCCAGGCCTGGCTCCATGTGGCCAAACACGTAGCCAGGAATGCGCTCAATCCTGTTCCCCAGGAGCACGAGGTGCAGCAGCGACTTGGGGAGGTAGGAGGGGACGTGGTAGAGCCTGTTGTAGGAAAGGTCGATGGATTCGAGATTTCTGCAGCAAAGAAACGAGTGAACAGCGGTGCGTCAGGGCAGGACTGGGAACTCTAAGTTTTTATTTATTTATTTATTTATTTATTTATTTATTTATTATTATTTTTAAAATATATTTTATTGATTTTTACACAGAGAGGAATTGAGAGGGATAGAGAGTTAGAAATGTCGATGAGAGAGATACATCGACCAGCTGCCTCTTGCACACACTACACTGGGGTTGTGCCCGCAGCCAAGGTACGTGCCCTTGACCAGAATCAAACCCGGGACCTTTCAGTCCACAGGCCGACGCTCTATCCACTGAGCCAAACCGGTTTCGACTGGGAGCTCTAAGTTTAGACAAGGCCGTCAGGATGCTTGCCGGTTTTCCTTCCAGCACTCGGTGCAGAGATACCACCGGGTGCCAGCGTGGCTGTGCATGTGCTTACCTGGGCACAGACAGTTGGTTTCCACCAGAGAGGAGCACCAGGATTCAGAAAGATAACCGTGAGGCTCTAGGAAGTCCCCAAATAACCCTAAGGTCACTCTCAGAAGTGAAATCCAGGGAGTTCTGGCCAACATCAGATTGCCTATTCCTAAAGTCTGCAATGGTTCCCGCAAAGAAATGGCAGTGACATCTGATCAAGGCTCAACCCGCTTTCCCGCATGGCTTACTCTCCGTTCTGAACGGCAAGGCTTCCCGCTGGCCCTTCGTGAGGGCTGCGGCTGGGCCAGGCATTCTCATCTGTTTTGTAAGACGAGATGGAGATAGTTTGGAGGGTGTGGGGCAGTGCAGCCCAACGCTTTTACCTGAGGGGGCTGAGGGAAGGGCAGGTTCCTTCCTCACTCTGTGCAGGGGTCACTCCCTTAACCTGCAAGACCGCTCAGTGAGGTCCACAGAGTGCGTGTCATGGTGGTCAGACCTCGTGTCCCTGCGCGGAGTCCGTGTGGCTGGTGTCCACAGTGTTAGTGACTGTGGTCACTCATCCTCACACCCGCCATGACATCAACATTTGAACCCTCTGAAGGTGGCCACGTTCTGGGGCGGGAGGGGTTCGCTAAGAAAGGCTGCTGCCACCTCCTTCATGTCTCCATGTTCAGACCCTCGTCAATAATGGCAGAAGGAAGGAATTGTCTCAAAAAGCCTAATTATAACATATACTTACTCTTGGTTTATCCAGGCTAAAGGAGCGATCCTATTTTCTTCAATTTTATTGTAACATAGTATAATGACATTGATATTTCTGGTATGATTGAAACAGATTTCAGTTATCTCTTCAATTTGATTATTTTCTAGGTATAATTCCTATAATTAAGAGAAAAGACATATTTTTCCTGTTGGTTGCTAAATACATTCAATTTTATAGAAATTAAAATAGCATTGTAGGCTGTTCTCATTAATATTATCAAAAGCCTTTACTGCCCCCTCAAGGGAATTCATGTTCTAAGCGGTTAAATTTTCTAATTAGAAAATGTATTGTTTGTCAGTTTATTTAATTACTGGAGACCTGGTGCATGAAATTCATGCACTGGGGGGGGAGGGGGGGGCTCTCTCAGCCCAGCCTGCGCCCTCTCCAATCTGGGGCCCCTTGGGGAATGTCTGACTGCCAGTTTAGGCCCAATCCCTGTGTGGGATCGGCAGTTGGACATCCCTCTCACAATCCAGGACTGCTGACTCCCAACTGCTTGCCCGGCTGCCAGCCTGATCACCCCCTGCAAGCCTGACTGCTCCCCTGCTGGCCTGATTGCCCCCACTGCCCTCCCCTGTCAACCTGGTCTCCCCCAACTGCCCTCCCCTGCTGGCCATCTTGTGGCGGCCACCTTGTGACCATATGGGGGTGGCTATTTTGTATGAAGGCATGACAATCAATTTGCATATTACCTCTTTGTTATATAGGATTTTTAACCATAAAATGTTACAAGATATCCTATGCTGTAATAACTGGATAAAGCTTTCCTAATTTATAAAACTTTATTCACATAAATTATTTCATTTGACAAGAAAATAAGTAGAAAGTATCATCCCACTTAGCACTAGAGAGAATCAGGCCTTAGGACATGAGCAGCCATGCCCAGTGTCACTCGCTCATCGAATATGACAAAACTCATCCTAGCTTGGCCTCACTCACAAGTGCTGTCTGTAATATTTTTAGGCTCATGTTTTCTGGTCTTGCTTTTGTATTGAAAAATGTCAGAGAGAAGTTTACTAGAACTTTAATGTCCAGCAGCTAGTTGTCTTCATTTGTGATTTCATTTGGCATTACAGTTTTCACACAACAAGGATATTGGAATTCAGAAGTAGAATTGGTATGTATATCCAGCGTGACTTTTTGTTCCTTTAGTAGAAATTTCCCCTCTTTGTTACTTAAATTTGCTCTTTATCAGAAATTGGTAGAGACTTCTAACTCTTTGCTTTTACCTTTGTGTGCATTTGTGTGCAAACTAGATCAGTGGGTCCCAAACTGTGTACAGCGCACTTATTAAAGTGCGAAAGGAGCCGAAACCGGTTTGGCTCAGTGGTAGAGCGTCTGTCTGCGGACTGAAAGGTCCCGGGTTCGATTCCGGTCAGAGGCATGTACATTGGTTGCGGGCACATCCCCCATGGGGGGTGTGCAAGAGGCGACTGGTTGATGTTTCTCTCTCATTGACGTTTCTAGCTCTCTATCTCTCTCCCTTCCTCTCTGTAAAAAATCAATAAAATATATTAAAATAAATAAATAAATAAATAAATAAATAAATAAATAAAAGTGCGAAAGGAGTCCCAGTCCGGGCGCAGCCCAGGGCACAGCTATCCAAGGCTGTGCCAGGCCGCTCTGCAGTGGGCTCCCAGCCCACTCCCTGGCGGCCACCCCCTGCAGCAGCAGCATCTCCAGAGGTGAGCTGGGGCAGTGTTGGCCAGGTGGGAGCGTCAGGACTGGGAAGGTGGGCGGATGGCTTCCATCCATGCAGGGCCACTGCTAGCTCAGGCGGGGCTCCGGGCCGAGCAGGCTGGGGATAGGCGCCAGTCCCATTGGGACAGTTAAAACTATCTTGCAAGTCAGGGTATTTTTTAGGTTGGAGTTTCTGTTTAAATTGTCAGCTCATTTCCCAGCTGTCATCAGGACCATTTTTTACTTTTTTAAGGGTCTCTACTCATAATTGTAATTTTGACTCATAATTTTATATAATTTGAAGAGAAAACTGTTCAACTTATCATACGTTATATACACAGCATCAAAACTACCAACTTCAATATGCATCACAGTAATCTTTTAAAATGTATAGTTTGGGCTGAGACTGGTTTGGCTCAATGGATAGAGCGTCGGCTTGGGGACTGAAAGGTCCCGGGTTCGATTCCGGTCAAGGGCATGTACCTTGGTTGCGGGCATATCCCCAGTAGGGGGTGTGCAAGAGGCAGCTGGTCAATGACTCTCTCTCTCATCGATGTTTCTAGCTCTCTATCTCTCTCCCTTCCTCTATACAAAATAATAAAAAAATATATTTAAAAAAATTTTAAAAAATGTATAGTTTGGGGTTTGTGGCTTACTGTATTTAAAGTATAAAACGTTAGAAAGAACATTGGCACCTCGATAGAAGCAGGAAGACCCTGTGGTATAATTCTAAATCTGTTTCGTCCCAGACGCAGGTAGGACAGGCTCTTCAGATGTCTGAAAGCTGAAGGATTGACATTGGTTTCACTGAGTTCGTTTCCTTCCAGTTCTAAGGTAACCAATCGACTTAAGCCTATAAAAAATGAAATTATTGTAGTGTTAGGATAATTGGAAAACCATGCAGTTTTTATAACTTTTCAAAGGTCATGTGAGCCCAGCCGTGAAGCTCAGTGGTTGAGCATTGGCCCATGCACTAGTCAGGGTTTCGATCCTTGTCAGGGTGCACACTCCCAGGTTGCAGGTTTGATTCCCAGTAGTGGGTGTGCAGGAGGCAGCTGACCCATGATTCTCTCTCATCACTGATATTTCTCTCTTCCTCACTCTTCCTCACTCAATTCAATGAAAATATATTTTTACAATGTCATGTGAAATTTTCAGTTTATTTGGAGGGCAAATGTTGTAGTTCAGTTCAGCCAAGATTAAACGCTGAATGCATGGCCCAGTGGGGAGGCAGGCTTGTAGAAAAATCATTGCTGTGCTATCTGATCAAAGTGTGTACTCTAAGGGCACTGGCTGGTTGTTTAGTGGTTAGAGCTTCAGCCTGCCAACCAAAGGGTCTCCTCAAATTCAAGGAGATGTACTTGTGTTGCAGGTTCAACCCCTGGCCCCAGTCAGGGCACATGCTGGAGGCAAACAGTTGATGTGTCTCTCCCACATAGATGTTTCTCTCTGTCTCTCTGTACCTTTTACCTCCCTACCACTCTCTCTAAAAAACAATGGACAAAATATCCTCGGGTAAGGATTTAAAAGAATAAAAAATATCTTGGTTGCGGGCACATCCCCAGTGGGGAGTGTGCAGGAGGCAGCTGAATCAATGTTTCTCTTTCATCGATGTTTCTAACTCTATTTCTCTCCCTCTCCCTTCCTCTCTGTAAAAAAAAAATCAATAAAATATATTTATTTTTTAAAAGTATGTACTCTAAGGGGTGGGGGTGGGGTGGGGGTGGGGTGTTTCGGTGATGGGCAGGGTGCCCCACGGAGGCAGCAGAAGCCAAGCAGGGACTTGAGTCACAGCTGGGCAAAGGAGAAGGTTGTAGATCATTTGAAGCATTTGTAGGGACAGGTAGGTGTAAAATGGCAGCATAATTGGGGATAGATGAGGAGTACAGTGCAATGAGGGATTCCTTTTCTGGCATAAGAAGGAGCATTTTTGCCTGCAACCTTCAGTTGATGAACATGCAACATTGAATTTCCATCCCAGTGTTCACTTTATGGCAGAGAATGCATCCAAGTGGACGTTTTGAAAAGGAAATAATCAAAAACTCTCCATGCAATCAAATTGCACTACCACGAAAGGCCTTTATATAAACAAGTTTTATCTCAATAATTTTTACTGGCCTCAGGAGTGGTATGGTGCGAATTAATTGGAAGCTTTAAGAAGAATGGGCAGCTAGATGAGAACATAGCACAGGACCCGTGTGAGGTGAGAGTGTGTGAAGAGCATGTAGGGGAATGAGTGTGTGTGTGTTTGCGCGCGCGCACGCGAGCGTGGTCACGCCTGTGCGTGAGTGTATGGTGTCCCCCTCTGTGCCCCACTACTGCCCGCTGCCCGGGGTGCTTCTAGCTCCGCAGGTGTGGAACAGGTTTGGGGATATTGCAGAATCCTCCTTGTGAGCAAGGGTGCCAGGAGCAGCATGGTTCAGTGTTGAGCCTGCACACCCCACACCAGAAGTTGGAAGGGACTGCTGTGTGTGGAGGGCAGGGGCTGCCCTCCCCTGCCCTGGGTGCTGCTGGGCCATGGAGCTGAGCTCTGGGCAGAGGGAGAGGCCATCATCATGGCACCATCATCCAGCTGCATTCCCGCCAGGGAAGTTAGCCCTGACCTTGTCTGTGAGAAGGGCCATACAGCAGAGCTGGGTGCCAGCAGAGGGGTCTTAACAGGCAGACCCGGCAGTAAATCTGAGGGACCCTTTGTTATCTGGAGGAAGTTTTGGAGGACAGCCAATGGGGGCTGGGCAGTGGGCTCAAGCAGGGGCAGCTCCTCTTCCGTGGCCTGCAGAGCAGCTGGTCCTGCACTGCCTGCAGTGATCTGAGTGAGGGAGACGGCTCTGGTGCACAGCTGCGCCAGTGAAGCTGGGCCCAGCGGCAGGTGGGCTTAGACATCTGGCTGGTCGGATTCTGGGCAGAGGCCCCACCCAGCAGGGGCCCATGGCATTGAAAGATTGGAGTACCGAGTTAGGCTGATTTTCTTATCTCCTCCTGTTTGAGGTGCCCAAGGGGTGCCAGCAGGCTAGGCAAAGGTGAGGCATTGGAAGGAGAGGTAGTACTGCTTCCCTCATCCCCAAACTAGGGAATGACCCCCAATGCAAGTCTGTTCAAACCATCTGGGCTGAGACCAGAGTTCCCCCTCAAAGCCCAATTCCACAGGTGAAAGGAGAGCATCTCAGACCAGGGACCTGAAGCAGACCCAGCATCCCTGCTACTAGCTTTACCGCAGGACTACTGGGGCCCTGCCTGCTTCAGTCAGGTATCCAAGGCCACACAGGGTAATGACTCATATTGACCTTCATAGGAGGACCTACCAGGAAGCCTGGGACAGACACATCAAGGGGCCAGATTCAATAGCAGAGCAAAATCCAGCGAGCTCCACTCCAGATCCAAAGTTCTATTTTCTTCCTTCCATATTCTCTTCTTTGGTTCCCCTCCCCTGCCCCTCTCCCCCCTACTGCTAGTTCTTTAGGTGTCATATTTCTTAGTATTTTTCTTTCTTTTTCTTCAGTCTTTCTTGTTGTTGGTTCTTTTTCATGTTATTTTCTGTTCATACTTACTTTGTTCTGTAAGCACATGTATAACTGCTGACAACATGTAGTTCTAGTTGAGCTTCACAATTAGCAAGCCTGAGGGCTGATCCCACCCATGAATGGGGCAAAAGCAATCAAGACCCAAATACAACAGAAGGGCCATAAAACCCAAACAAGGTTATTATTAGAGCACCCACCTCAGAATATTAAGGAGACTACACCACTGGGTCCCACAAAAGTCCACTTCTTCAAGACTGGAAGGCATAGCAGTCTTATCCAACACAAGGAAACAAATATTAAAAAAAAAAAAAAAAAATGGGGGGATGGGGAGACAAAGAAATAGGCCTCAAATGAAAGAACAGGAGGAATCTCCAAAAAGAGAACTAAATGAAATGAAGGCAATTAAAAAAACAGGAGACAGTTTAAGGGAGTTGTGGGACACCATGAAAAGTAACAATATCCACAACATAGGAGTATCAAAAGAGAAAAATGTACAAGGGATAGAAAACCTGTTTGAAGAAATATGGCAGAAAATGTGCCTAAACTGGTGAAGGAAAAAGTCACACATGTTCCCATGTACCAAAGAGTCACAGGTTCCATTCCCATTCAAGGTCATGTATCTAGGTTGCAGGTTTGATCCCAGACCCTCGTCAATATTTGTGGGAGGCAAACAATTGATATGTCTCTCTCACATCAGTTTCTCTCTTTTTCCCTCCCTTGCACTGTTTCTGAAAAATGTGGAAAAAATATCATTGGACGAGGAGATAAGTAAATAAGTCACACATTCAGAAAGCACAGAGAATCCCAAGTACAAAGAACTCAAAGTGTCCCATCCATGCTTATACACATCATAATTAAAATGCCAAAAATAAAAAACAAAGAATCTTTAACGCAGCAAGAGAAAAGTTACCTACAAAGGAGCTCTTATAAGGCTTATATTTGACTTCTAATAAGAAACTCTACAGGCCAGAAGAGATGGCATGGCATATTCCAGGTAATGAAAAGCTAAGATCTGAAACCAAGATTACTATATCCAGCAAGACAATCATTCAGAATAGATGGTGAAATAAGTAGCTTTCCAGCATTGCAAGAAATGTTAAAGGGACTGCTGAAATAATAAGTAGAAAGAGCCCTCGCTGGTTTGGCTCAGTGGATAGAGCATTGGCCTGTGGACTGAAGTGTTCTGGGTTTGATTTCAGTCAAACAAAAGCATGGCCTAGAAGGCTTCACAGGGGAATTTTGGCTAACATTCTAAGAAAAATTAGCACCTGTCATCCTCAAACTATTTCAGAAACCTCAAGAGGAAGGAATATTTCCATGCTCTTTTTATGAGGCCAGCATTGTCCTAATTAAAAACCTGATAAAGGCTCTACAAAGAGAAAATTACAGGCCAGTATCCCTGATAATCTAAGATGCTAAAATCCTCAACTACATATTACCAAATCGGACCCAGCAATACTTTATAAAGATCATACACCATGACCAAGTGGGGTTTATTCTGGAGATGCAAAGCTGTACAATATTTGCAAATCAATAAATGTGATACTTCACATAAACAAAATGAAGTTCAAAAAATCACATGATAATATCAATCAATCAATATAGAAAAACCATTAGACAGAATTCAGCATCCATTTTTTATTTAGAAAACTTTCAGCAAAGTGAGAATAGAAGACCTACCTCAACATAATAAGGGCCATATATAACAGACCAATAGCCAACATCATACTCAACTGGACAGAAACTAAAACCATTTCCCCTAAGAACAGGAACAAGACAGGGATCTCTGCTTTTGCCACTCTTATTCAACATAGTACTGAAATTCCTAGCTACAGAAATCAGACAAGAAGAAATAAAATGTATCAAAATTGGAAAGGGAGAGCTAAAACTATCTTTATTTGCAGGTGACATGACATTGAAAATAGAAAATCCTAAAGACTCCACTAAAAGTCTTCTAGATTTAATAAAAGAAATTGGGTAAAGTAGCAGGATACAAAATTAACATCAAGAAATCAGTGGCATTTTTATACACCACTAATGAACTAGCAGAAATAGAAACTTAAAAAAGAATCTCATTTACGAGGGAGAAACCAAGGTGGTGGCATAGGTAAATACGTAAACTGCTGCCTTGCACAACAATTTGAAAACTACAACTAACAAAACGGACATCATCCAGAACCACAGGAAGGCTGGCTGAGTGGAAATTCTACAACTAGAAGAAAACAGAAAAGCACACTGAGACTCAGAGGAGCTGCAGGAGGTAGAGATACTGAGATGTGTGCATGGAGAGGACTGGCAACTGAGTGTGCAGTTGGCTTTCTCAGTCGGGCGG